AGAGTGGTTGGTGGTGCTGCCCAGGGGAAGGAGAACACTGGAGGACTGCACTTCACACAGTTCGGGGAGTGAGAGGTCTGTGAAAGCAGGAAGGGGTGGGGGTGGGCAGTGCAGAATGCTGCACAAATTGTTTGAGCTAGATCGTATCTCCTGAAAAATTTGATCTGAACCTTACCAGAAAGCAATAAATAAATAGATAAAGTGCAATCCTTTAATTCATTTAGACACTTCTCAGATTGATTGTCACCTCACTTTTTAATATATGTTATTGCTCGTGTGCCAGCGCTGTTAGGCACTGGAGGTGCGGTGGGCAGCGTGAGTTAGAGGCAGTAGACCGCCCCTCTGTTGGATGCCGCTGACCGTGGGTCAGGCAGCAAAGCTGCGTACAGGTCCCGGAGGGGGGGGGCTGCAGGAGATCTCCCCGACTGGAGCGAGCATGTGGACGCCCCAGGGCGGATGGCATTGACAAATGGGGTTTATGTTTCCCTGTCTGTTTTCAGAGCCGATGAACCCTGTTGTCTGGTCTGTCAGCACTGAGTCAAGCTGACAAGATGCTTTGTGCTGTGCTGGGTTTCTGTGGTCTGACGTGGGCCGTTCACGGCTTGTCATCTCATTCGATGGCTAGATCTGTGCAAAGCTGTCACCCCTGTTCAGAGGACATGTCAAAACCACACCCGGCAACAGCTCAGAAAGCCAGCTTCTCAGCTTCTCAGGTGTTAAAATGTGGTATGAAAGCCAGGTGCTGGCGGCTCACGCCTGTCATCCTAGCTACGCAGGAGGCTGAGATCTGAGGATCAGAGCTCAAAGCCAGCCCGGGCAGGAAAGTCCACGAGACTCTTATCTCCAGTAAACCACCAGAAAACTGGGAGTGGTGCTGTGGCTCAAGTGGTAGAGTGCTAGCTTAGGATGAAAAATTACCCAGGTCCCTGGTTCAAGCCCCACTACAGACAAAAGAAAATATGGCATGTAAAACATGGTGTGTATATGTGAGACAGAGAGAGAGCGTGGATTCAAGTGAAGAACAGTACTCCTCCTGATTGTAATGCACTGTTGTATTCAGTCTCAAGGCGTGGCTCCGGTACAAATGCCTGATCTTTCTTTCCACAGCTCAGATTTCTCAGTTCTTGCATTGAGATCACAATACTGTTCTCCTTTTCCTGTTGCCAGTATTAAATGTGACAGTATATTCTCTACCTAGTAGATTGCTCATTATATGTTTTCTTTCATTTTTAAAGTTTATGCTTTCTCCAATTATTTATTAGTAGGAATCTATTTTCATAATTATTTTTAATACATTCTTAATACATGATTCTAAATATGGTAGCTATTAACTTATGAAGAGCTGTTGCTTTTACCATTATTTTTCAATTACTATTTAGAACCTAGGTTATTTTGAGAACATAAGCAAATATATAAGGATGAAAAGAGAAATGTGAGTATAGAAAAATAAAACAATTCATTCATTTGAGAACAATACACTAAAATTCTTTATGATCTTAGATAATAGAATTCTATCTGTACCAAGAGAGCCAAATTAGCTCATTTATTCCTGAACCACTAGATTATATAAAATCACTGTGGTTAAACATAATAAATTCCTAGTTGGGAAACACTGCTCATGAACCAATGACTCACCTGTTGAAATTGACTGCAGATAATTTCCTGTATCAGCAGAGAACTTGGGAGTCAGGTCGCCACGAAGGTGGAGGAGATGCTTGGGTGGTGTTGTCAATGGCCACACGCAGTGCTCGTGTCCCCAGCCCTTTGCTACGGGCGGCCGAGATGGAATCTCATTCACCCTTGGTACAATGCTATCCTCTTCAACTACTTTTATAAGTTCTTTTTGTTGATTCTGGCTTAAATCTAACACCTCTTTGGGAAGTGTTTCTGTCAGGCTTGTAATCACAGTGTAGCTCATGTGGAGATACGGGGGCATGCCTGTCTAAACATGCAGAGATTGGGGGGGTCTCAGTGTTCAGCGGTGGGTGGGGCCTCAGAAGTTAGAAGCATAGTCAGTTATTTCTGTCAACTAGGCAATGGGTCAGCTGCCTTGAAGAAGGAGGCCCTGCAGAGTTTTCCTCCGTGTCTCTGTGTAGCACATAATACAGGAGTACCTTTCAGAATCTCGGATTAGGATTTGATCCTGGCTCTAAAAATATTCTTGCACATAACATGTATTCTTCCGAACTACCATGTACATGACAGTTATGTATAAATGATATGTATTTCTATGTTGCAGATTTTATCATATGTATGATAGTTCAGATACAGGGATGACACATGGGAAGTTTCTGTTGAAAAGAATGTGTAGCTGTGGAAATCGACAATGTCTTGACTGCTTGAAAGTATCTGGGATAGTACGTATCACTTTAGTAAGGCCAAAGAGAAGGTCAGCCAGTCTGTGAGCCAATAAGAAAAAAGGAAATTGTCAAAAAGAGAAACACTCACATTCTGCCATTGATGCCTGTTACCTGTGCTGTAAGTGACACCTGTGGCTTATTTTCATCTGCAAATAGATGTATTAAGTGTGACTCCCGCAGTCACAGTCACAAGCGTGCTCGTGCTTCAGATTAAACCTCTGGATGGGCCCCGTGAGAATACATTTTGTGATCATCTGACTGTTCCCCGTTCCCCGTGCCAACGGCACACACCTCCGCTTCCCAACCCATCCGCTTTCTAACTACCCCCGCCCCAGCCTCCGCGTCTGTGTGCAAGCCTCCTCCTTCAGACCCCTCGTGACTCTGGCGGTGCTCCAAGACCCGGCTGCCTTCACTCGTACCGTGCTCTTCTTTGTGGTTATGACTTCATCGACCTGAGACTTTCCTTCTTTCTTCAGGTCATTACTGTATTATTTGCATTATTCTGCTATTGTGGCTTGCATTATTAAATGCCTTTTAGACACCAGTGGCATCTACTGTTGAAGTGTTATTGATCTCTATGGGCCTTGCTTTTCTTGTCTGTGAAGAAATCAGGTTAAAGTCCTATTATCTTGGTGGGCCATGGGGTCTTGAGCGTCCAACTCTGCAATGAGCCAACTTACTGAAATATTTAAATGAAAGAGGAGGAATGTTCCATAAAATTCCACTCAGCAAAGCAGTTCTCGGGCCAGATCCACCCCGTGGAGAGCCGCTGTCACGGTGGTCTCCTTCCTGCTCTGTGATTCCACGAGGAGGCAAACAGCCATTTGTCTTCCTGACACCAGTGAGGTGAGGTTCTCCCTTAAAGCAAAAGGTCCCACGGTAGTTGGTCGTCCTTGCTGGCGATGTACAGGTGAGCTACATTTGGCTAACCTGTGGTGGAGTAGCCCTCAACCCTGCGTCTCCCTCCAAGTGCTGTGCTTTGATGAGAATGTCATCTCTGTTCTTCGCGACGAAGGGCTGCGTTCCTCCCGTAAAAGATGGTCCTACTTCCCCTCTTAGTTATAATTGACAGTGATGGATGATGTCTTTGCATCTGCTTTGCTCACCAGTGCACTTCATGTGATTTTGCACCTTTGAGCACACATCTGCCAATATACAGAATGCAGAGGGCCCGCTCCCTCCGTCAGGTAGCAGATCATTCTGGTAATGTCACAAACAGAGCGCAGTCATCCATCCTTTCCTGTCATATTTCTTCTTTCAGGCCGGTTTCCAGATGAGATGCTGTTGGCATGCCTTTTGCCTCTTGATAGACGGAGTGGTGGGAGTGGAGTGTGGGGCGTGTTAGGGGAATGGCTAGAGGAGTCACCACCGGCACGTGTACACCATCCCCTGTGATATTTACTGCAAAACCATCGTTCAGACATCTCCATCCATCTGTCAGGAAGCAAAAGGCACACGAGCCTCTGGTGGAAGGGCCAATCAGGAAGTGCATTTGATCTTAAACGTAGTGGATCCTGGCTTGATGTGTGTTTTGCTTAAGGAGGGAATATGGTGAGGGGGCCCGGAGGTCTCTCATCACCGTTGACGCCCCCTTCATCACATTCGCCGGCATTCCCCCGTCACTGCCAGCTCTGGTCAGCACTGGCTGTCGGAATGGGCCTCGTATGCCAATATGGGACAGGTCAGGTGGCAGGCGGAGAATGAACTCTAATCTGGATCTAGCCGGGCGAGGCAGGGTTGAGGCCTTTCTTCCTTGTAAAGCTGATGCAGTCTGAGATCGCTGCGGCTGGGTCTGTGATGTGTTTCTGAGTGAAGGAGCCACGCAACCTGTGAAGAGGAACTTGATGTTTGAGTTTCTCAGCAAATAGAACGTGCGAAGAATTCCTACCTTACTGGTCTCCTTAACAGAAAATGTATTATAGGTTCAAGTTCTTCAGCGTGCTTCATGAAATGAGGCCAGTCCGGGGAATCTAGCATTTGATTTCCATACATTCAAGAGATTACAGAAACTTGATACATTGTTGCATCGTCAAATGCTCTGAATATAAGAATATGTTTGTGTAAAATGCCCCCATTTCTAGTAATTATCCGCATTTAAATTGTGACCTTTGTCAGTAGTCTTAGATTATTTCATTTAGGGTAGCGTCTCCGAGGACAAGTTTTAAAGACAGTATCTTTTATTATCTTTTAAGTAGTTGTACAAAAAGAGTCGCCATTCCTGGAGGCAGTCTTAACACTAGAGTGCATCTCTCTCCACGTCACACTGTTCTCCTCCATCCCTCCCAACCCCACCCCTTTGCTCGAGTTTCTTGCTTCACGAGGGTACGCATTGATTTTCTTGACTGCATTCCATGTGGCTCAAGTGGTAGAGCACCGGCCTAGCAAGATAGTATCTTTCCAGAACAGTAAGATGCCTAGCTGAGCTGTCTGCAGGTGTCTCTGTCTCTGTCAATAAGATTCACGTCCGTTTGCGTCCTCCTTATAGATGAGTCTCTTCTGTGAATATAAATAATGTGGCATGGAAGCAGAAGATGATGATGTGTCACTGCTGCGGGGCAGGGCTGGAAGAGAAGGAAAAGTGAAACGCAAATAAACACCTTTACCCCGATATTCACGATGGTTATCACTTATTATTTGTAGATGGGGCACACTGAGAGGCGCACAAGGGAAGAAAGAAAAGTTCTGGGTATGTATCCCTTCTGTTAGTTAACGTGTAAGGGAAGAATGAGTTTAGATGGTAAGAGATGAGCAGTTTTTGTTTTTCCATATTGATTGAGCATCAACAGGACTGTCTTGACATCTATGTTCAAGTAAATCTTAGACTTTCCTTCCCCCCCCATATAGATCAACAAATGTGTGATGGCTGTGACATTAATGTTGTATCTTATCAATAGCATAATGTACACACATATATATTTTAAAAGCTAAATGGTCCTTGTATCATTAAAATATACATCTTTATGGAGAAAGAACATCTCATCTTAAATATTGCATGATGCTATAGGTAAGAGACATTTTGAAGCAGATTGGAGTGTACCGTTGTAAATATCCAGTTAATTATGAGTTGTGTCAATTGTCTCCAAGTCGTTACGCATTCATCTTTCTTCACAAGTCGTCTGAAGTCTAGGCAGAGATACGTAGCTGTAACGTGAGTTTGATGTCACAGCGGTGGGGGAGACGCAGCTTGCAAGCATCCCTCACCACGCAGGCAGACACTTGACAGTGCCCCCAAGCCAGTCACTAATGTGGCCACAACTGATGATTTTCTGATTGATAGTTGATTTTTTTTTTTGTCGGTTGTGGGGCCTGAACTCTGGGCCTGGGCACTGTCCCTCAGCTCTTCAGCTCCAGGCGAGTGCTCTATCACTTGAGCCACAGTGCCACTTCAGGCTTTTTTCCGCTTATGTGGTGCTGAGGAATTGAACCCAGGGCCTCATGCATGCAAGGCAAGCGCTCTACCACTGAGCCATACCACCAGCCCCAATGGAGTTTTTTTAAATAGAAGATATTTACATTTAGATGGAGCTTTTAAAAATATTTCCCTCATTGAAATAAACTTCAAATCAACAAAACAACAGTTTTCACTAATTAAAGAATGGAAGAGAATGTGAGTTATTAAAATACCTACAATTAAGTTGTCCTTTTTAAAAAATGAATTTGAAGGATATTCAGTTTCATTACTAATACTTAGAGATCATCTAAGGTCTTTGCTGTGTGGAGTTCACAGTGGTCCTTTGTGGGGAGGGGGTGAGTGGATGTGCTGAGAAATGTTCTGTAAGTCTCCCTGGCTCGTCTGATCATTTCCAGCCTGGCCTTGTACTTACAATCCATCCATGTGGATGCGTGTGCATACATGGATACAGTGGGTGTGCATACACACCCACCCACTCCTACACACACACATACAACACCTGAGCCAGAAACGAAACCCTGAGATCCAAACCGGATGGAGAGGCCGAGACTCCCAGGGCAGACTTAGCCTGTGTCTTGCACATGATTGGAGTCAGTGTGAGTCTCCCACACAGGTAACCACACACGCCCATGACATTGGCATAACAGAGGGCCAGGCAGCAGTACTTTCCCTCTAGTGCACAAGCAAAAGGTGTATCTTTTTCGCAGAGTGAAAGGAAAGAGAAGTCAAACTGAAATAAACAAACCACAGACACAAGCCCCGTGAGTTCACCTGGATGAGCTGAGCCGCCTCAGGCTTGTGCGTTAGACTTGGGGAGTATTGACTTGCCTTGCAAAGGTGAGGCCCCCCGGAAATGGGTGGTATGGGGAAGAGAGCGTCCCAGGGCTTCTGGGGTGAGGCCCCCCCAAGACAGGGGGTACGGGGAAAAGAGCGTCCCAGGGCTTCTGGGGTGAGGCCCCCCCAAGACAGGGGGTACGGGGAAAAGAGCGTCCCAGGGCTTCTGGGGTGAGGCCCCCCGGGAACGGGGGGGGTACGGGGAAGGCGTCTCAGGGCTTCTACTCCTTGGGGCTTCGTTCAGGGCCTGGCATGCACTCTAACGCTTGGCTCTCTGGGGTAGATAAGAAGGTTTCAGTGTCCCTTCGGATCAGATTCTTTAGCTGGAAAAGGGCTGTCTGTAGGGTCACCTCCCGGGGTGGGCAAAGAGCAATTATTTCTAGAAGAAGTGAAAGCACGCATTCCTGATCTCTGCATTCTGTGCATTTTTTGAAGAGTTTAGGACTCTGCAAACCTCCGAGAAACCCGATAAGCTTCATTTTCCCACACTCTCCTGAAGATGTCTAGATATTTACAGACAGCCTGACAGCACGGTCCTGTGTTACAATAAACGTGCCCCGAGCCTCCAATCCTGAGTCAAGCGTGGTGAAGAGCAGCATGCTGTTCGTCTCACTGGGTGACACCCAGGAGCCTGGCCAGGCCGTGCTGTGTTCTGATTCCATCCTGTCTACCTCCAGGGGGTGGGAAATTACACAGGCCAGGCGCACGCTTGCTCAGGGACTGGAATCCGGGTGTGTGTGTGTGGGGTGAGGGTGAATCCGAACCCGTTCACCATTCACTACCTGAAATCTCAGTGATGGAGAAACGCTCCAGCGCCTCCATTTCCTTACGAAGTCTGTCCCGCAGATCCGCACAGCAAACGCCGCGTCCTTACAGCCCAGGCTGCCTTCCTCCCGGGCAAGGAGAGCACTAGCTGCCTGGTGAGCAGCGTGTGGAGAGCCACGGGCAGGGCACGGCGGGAACGGGAAAGGGGGACCATCGGATAAGAAATGCCATGACTGTGTCCGCAGGGAATATGATTGTGCATGGTGAAAATCCCACCAACTCTAAGAAATAAGAAAGCGTACTCAGCCAGGCTTCTGGGTGTATTGTCATTCTACCAGGCTGTCTCCCGTCAGGAGGTGGGCAGGTGATCTGTGCGTGGAGGGGCTCTATGCGTGGCTCACGTCTTGGTTTAGGTGGAGATTATAAACTTCACTAACCCATGAATAGATGTGCTAACTTGGACACTTAAAGCACAGAGCCCAAGGCTCAGAGCAAAAAGTTTTGTAATTAAGTGCAAGCAAATGTAGACATTTAAAAGCAGCAAAGTGGGTGAGGACAGAAGAGGAGGAAGGATAAGGTGAATTACAAAACAGGAGCCGCTTTGCAGGGGTCCTGGCTAATTTACAGAGACCCGCCTTCTCTAATTACATCGCCTTTCTTCTCCACCTCTGCGTGGTTCTCATTAGCATGGAAATTTGCACTTGCTTGAAGAAAACTCTCACAGACACTTCTCAGGTTCACCAAAGATCTAATGATGAAATTAGGAGTGTGAATAATCTTCAGCTATGCAAATGAGGGTGGGTACAGGGCTATGTATCATGGCGCTGTGAATTTTAAAGTATTAGGCCTTTTAGAAGTGAGCTTGTGGGCTGGGAAGGTGGCTCAGTGGTAGAGCGCTTGCCTTGCATGCATGAGGCCCTGGGTTCCATTCCTCAGCACCACATAAGCAGAAAAAGCCGGAAGTGGCACTGTGGCTCAAGTGGTAGAGTGCTAGCTTTGAGCTAAAGAGCTGAGGGACAGCGCCCAGGCCCAGAGTTCAAGATCCACGACTGACAGAAAAAAAAAGTGAGCTTGTGACTAACATTGTTTGACTTTGTAGCCTTGTGTGTGTATACATATGTGTCATGCACACACACATATATACACATACATACACATGTGTGGTTGTGTGTATGCACAGACATGCGCATTACACATCTATGTGGTTGGATACTATACACACGTGTAATCTAGCGTATGGATGTAATGGGCCTGACATGATATGGAAAGTCGAGTTCAGTTCAGATCGCCGGTGCTAAGACTCCTACACACCTGTGTGTGCACTCATTTCCAGCCACGCCCCATTTGTCTTTGATGTTGTAAGTGGAATTCACAATGACACACGTCTTTGAGGTTGGTCTTTAGGGTGTCAGGGCTGGCCGAGGAGGTGAAGAACCTGCGGGTGGTAAATCGCTGCTCCTCCAGCGGCTGTGAGCACAGCTCTGAGGCCTGAGGGTCAGCCTGGCTTGCGGGAGGACCCACGGACAGGGCCACAGCCGAGCGTGGTGGCTGCGGCTGCGAAGCGTCTCGTTTCCGGGCTTGTCCACTTTACCTCGCTGTGGTCACCGGCCTGCCCCCCCCCCACCCCTCCAGCTCCCCGAGTCTCCCTCTCCTTGCTCCATTAAGATCGCAGAGTCACTATGAACTTACTCAGGCATGAGATCCATGTGTTCTTCTGGACCCATCCCAACTCCAATCATCCTTATTGTTTAAAAAGAACAAGAGGAGAAAGTCTAATTCTGTGGCTCTTGCTTTCTGAAGATCCGTCGAGTATTCTTTCCTGGACCTGGGTGGGTGACTCAATAGGAACATTCCTTGGGAGACCCTCCAAACAGCCAAGCACAGGGGCACGTGTCTGTAGCCCTCGAACTTGGGAAGTGGGGGCAGGAGAATCTACGCTCTAGACCAGGGTGGGCTGCGGGCAAGACCCTGGTCCAAAGTGTGAAGCTAGTGGGAGGCTGGTGGGCTGAGGTTCAGAGCCAGCGCAGGAAAGGAATGTCCAGGACACTCGTATCTCCAGTCAGCCAACAAGCCGCACGTGGAGCTCAAGTGGTAGAGCGACAGCCTTGAGTGGAAAAGCTCAGGAACAGCGCTCAGGCCCTGAGTGCAAACCCTCGCACCAGCACACAACAAACATCTGAAATCAAACTTAACCCAACAAAGCTGTCTGCTGGTCTCCTGCCTCTGGTTTTGACCCCTTAAGTCAAGCTATCCCACCCACAAGAACAATGTAATGAAAACACACAATTGCCCTGTGGAAGTTCTTCCACATCTTCCTGAGCCATCCAGACAAGTGAGATACAGCTCCAGGGGCCTCACCCTTCCAGAAGCTTACATTTCCACCTTGACACATGGCGGATGTTGGCCATCTCCCATTAGATGTTATGTTGTCTAAACACAGAGTCACAGATAGCCATTGGTCTTCCTGTACCTAGAGCAGGCTTGGCTGTGTAGCCGACGTCTGCAGCTCTAGCTTGTGAGCATCTCTGGCTCAGCATTTCAAACACTCATGGTTAGCTCACAGTGTGGGCTATTGCCAGGGTCTCCACGCTTCGTGTATTAATGGAATGTAAGTTGTTTATTTAGAAAATACTTAGGTTTTTAAATAATAGAGCCTATAATAAGTGAAAGTCAGCTGAAGCTGTCTATGAATTTCCTGGATTTTTATGGGCAGGAGTAAAAATAAAATTCAACGTGTGATCCTCAGCACTTGTACTTTTTGTTTTTCTTGCAGATCGCTGCCAATTCCTGGGGAAAGTCTTGGGGAGAGAATGGCTATTTTAGGATTCTCCGCGGCGTCAATGAGTCTGATATTGAGAAGCTCATCATTGCCGCATGGGGTCAACTGGCGCGTTCCGACCAGGAGCCGTAGCCGTCTGTGTCCGCCGTCTGTGTCCACCGTCCAGGGCTGCAGGCCAAGCACCTGGGCGGGTCTCACGGCGACTTCAGCCGCGCTGTGTCCCGGGGTGCGTTGACAGCGTCCATCTTCTTGTTTTGCCCGGGTTCGACTCTTGGGCTTCCCTTCCACTTCTGAGTTTGTGAGAACACGAATAAAAGGCAGCGGAGGGGCTGATGCCTTTGAAGCTCGCGGGTCGTGGGTGATTTTCTCACGTGAGTGTCCCGTCTGCCTTGCTGTCTGTGGAGAGCGTGGCAGGTGTGCGGGAAGCTGGTGTGCTCTCTTCCCGAGGTGCTGCGGTCTTCCCGGCACTCCCGGGGCTGCCCAGGATGGAAGTGAGCTGGGCGCCCGCCAGGGGCCCCTTTTGGGCCGGCTCAGCCCAGCTCACCTTTCATTTCCCTGGCGTGTGAACTCACAGCCTCACACTTGCGCCCCGCCCTCCCTGGGCCACTTGAGCCACACCCCGTGGCCCCGTGCACCTGCCTTTGCTCATTTGCTTTCTGCTACTTTCCACGCAGGCAGGTAACTTCTTGCAGAGTTGGGTGACAGGCAGACACCATCACACAGCTTTCTATTGGTTAAGATCAGAGCGAGGGGTCTCCAAAACTTTTTGCCTAGGCTGGCCTTGAACTGTGATCTTTTCAATCTCTTGAATATCTGGGATTACAGGCGTGAGCTGTATCACCCAGCATTGCTGAAAGAAGCAGAAAGGTGACTTGCTGTTTCTCCCAAATAAACTAACATTTCATTTCATTTCCTTTGCCTAAACCTAATTTGCAATCTGGCCACTGGAGATCAGAGTATCGTGCAGTGGTTCAGGAGGAGGAGTCGAGGAAAGGGAAAGGGGAGAAGCTAACAAAAGGGGGCACACTCCCAATTTTGGAAGCCCTGCACATCGGGTGAAGTTTACTAAAATTACCTGTGAAACCGTATTTTGAAAAGAAATCATGTAGTTTTCCTCTCATTCCAGGTTCTTCTGGGAACAGCCCCTATGACAATTAATTTATTGGGCTCTCAGGTGGTCTTTATTTTTCTGTGATTCTTATCAGTAAGTAGTTGTACAAAGGGTTTCGTTCAACATGTCCGTTATGAGCCCCGTGGGTTTTGCTCAGCGAGAACAGACGTAGATGGAGTGGGTTTTGGCGCTTGATGTGGGCGATGTCTGCAGACATGGTGCAGGTGTGGCCGGCTCTGACCACGGGGCTGCGATCACCTCTGAAGCCCTTCCCTACGGCGCACCCCATTCTGCAGGGCAGACGCAACCGGATCCCGGGGGCTGAGGCTCCTTGGCCGTGGGGGTGGAGGGCTTCACGTCTGCTGCTCAGAAAATGTAGCAGGCATCAGAGGAAAACGCACGGTGGGCTCGTTCACAGACAGGGACAGGAGGAGAGCCAAGGGACACTGTTTTCCCAAGGTTTGTCCATTGCTGCATTGTTTCTCACTTTCCATTCAATGGCATGTGCAGCTGTATTTATTCTCAGTCAGCTCTCAGAAAACAGCTCCACTTCCGCGTTGTGCAGGTTAATTGGAGAGAAGACTCTCATGAGCTCTTCTGCCTTGGTTGGCTTTGACGCGGGATCAGCAGATCTCAGAGAGCCCCGTGAAACTGGAGACGTCACAGCAGGACGGCTTCACAGAGTATTTGTAACAAAATTATTCTCCAGAGAAATTCTCCTCGTAAGGGCAAATTGTTAGGTGGTAGTTTACTAATTTCAAGGGACTGCCTTCTCTTCCACAAGATCTATAAGACATAGATCTCTGTTTTCCATAGCCCACTGGGTTCCTACAGAAAACAGGCAAAATGTCAGCAGAGATGTGACCCCTCCCGTGTCTAAGATTCTGTTTCTGAGTCCACCAGGTGTTAGCTTTCTCTTCGCGGTATTTTATATTGGGGCATGTGAATGCACTGGACATGTTTCCAACCAAGGCGTAGTTGAGCAAAGGAAGTAAGATGTATTCTTATCAAGGTATCATGGTTAGAGATAATGTGCAGTCTTTTTGGTGTTTATTTAGCCCTTGTTTATAATTCTTTCTGTGTGACGGTATTGGGGTAGGAGCCCAGGGCACCCAGCAAGGCTGGCTTCTTCCAGAGGGACTGTTTGGTGGACTTTTCTGTCTGATAGGCCTGGAGCTTGAGCCTCCTGTTCTCAGCCTCCCCGGGAGGCTTGGGTGAGAAGCGGGCACAACTGTACCCGCAACAGGTTGCAGAGGGACTTAGGCACTTTCTCTGCCCTGGCGTGTCTGGAACCACGACCTCTCACAGGTGTGAGCTCCCCGAGCCCAGCTTCGTTTATACTTCACAATTCATATCGCATGAGACCTCTGATTTTATCATGTGGCAGGATATTTGGTTCTTGGCATGCCTATGGATGCTGCTTAAAGGAGTAAAAAGATGGCATCAGGAACAGACAGTCACATATACATTTAGCACAGTGTTGCAAGGCCACTGCTAAGGACAAACTAGGCTGTAACCCTTCTTACCTATATTAAATCACCAGGGAAGGTCGCTTTGAAATTCTAGGTAAGTGACTGATCCTCTGGGGCTTTATTTGTTTTGTTGCTTAGCTAAATTATTGTACTAATTGTATTAACATTCACTTAGCATTTGCTGCGTACTGAGCAGTCCGTCTTCTGTTCACCCACCGCGTCACCTAATTCAGGAGATGGCCGTGCAGTTGAATTTAATCCACACACACCTTTAACAACAGAGATCTGGCTTCCCCCTGGCCAGGCCCCAGGTTCAGGGAAGGGAGAAGGAAGAGAACAAATACCAATCAAATGGATTTTAGTCCTCTCGGGCTCGGTGGTCAGACCCTGCCTCTGTGCAGGTGTGAGCCGCCCGCCCTCCACACAGTTGCTTGTGTGAGGCCAGTGTGGGACTCTGTCCTGCCGCCCGGAAGCAGGCTGCTTCCACGACCGGGGTCAGGGAGGAAGTGAGATGCGGTGTGCTGGAGGACGCAGTTGCTTGGAGGCCTCTGGCCAGCGAACCGGGTCTCTGCTCCTTTGCAAGCTGTTTTCAAAGGCGGTCCAGGGATGGGTGGAGTGGAAGATGAGGGACGAGGCAGTAAGTACGGCTTAGGAAGGAAGGATTCTAGGACATGGATGCCGGGAAGAATTCGTTTAGCTTTGTTTTCCAACTCGAATGGTGGTGCTGTGGTTCCATTGGCTATGGAAGAGTGAGAAGAAGAGAGCGGGAAGACGGAAGCCAAGTCACGCGGGGACAGGCAACATGTATGACTCCACGCTTCCCACAGTCCTAAAGTGACACGGGAGAGCTCCAAACGCCATCTTCCCACCCCTCCCCCCGCCTGCCCACCCACCCAGCTACCCCCCTCCCTGCTCCCCGCCTGCATCATCTCAAGAAGTAGCTGCTTCCCGGAAAAGCATTGAGAGAGGGAAAAACCTTCGTCAGTGAGTTTTGCCACAGAAATTAAAGCATGTTTAGCTAAGAGTGGATGGCTATTGTGTCTTCCCCATTACAACAGATATGTAAGCTAGCAATAAGGAATATAAAATACTAAAAATTAGTGTGCAAGTGTGCATTTATTAAATATATATACATAGAAGGAGAGAACAAGGAGAGAGATGTGGAGGGGAAGGCCTACATTATGTGAGTTCTGTTCTTCATGGAAATGTTGAAGGTAGAATGCTTTTATTCCCAATAATGCTTAATGCCATGTTTGTTTTAAGCAGGTACCTAATATATGCTTACTGGTGATGAGCACAAACTACAAATGAGTGAGTTATTGCAAAGTTTTGTGATCAGTCCAGTATTTGGGCAAAATTTTAAATCAGTAATATCTGCTGAATGAGCTACTGATGGTTAATCCTAAGAAAGTGAATGAAAGCTGGGTTTTAATAGCACGAGGAACTTGGTAGAGGCTGTTACAATGCAAATGCACAGAGACTTATTACCAAAATGGAGACAGCTTGTTCCTTAACTGAATGTATAAAATATTCTGTGTTGATGAAATGGAGTCCTCTTCAAGTCTGGAGAAGAATGCAAATCATGAAAACTGACCATGTGTGAAGTTCTTGGTCAAATAGAGCCCAAATCAACCATAAAAGTTTGATTTTAGGGCTGAGAATGTAGCTTAGTGGTAGAGTGCTTGCCTAGCATGCATGAAGCCCTGGGTTCTATTCCTCAGTACCACATACACAGAAAAGACTAGAAGTGGTGCTGTGACTCAAATGGAAGAGTGCTAGCCTTTAGCAAAAGAAGCTCAGGGACAGTGCCCAAGCCCTGAGTTCAAGCCCCAGGCCTGCCCAAACAACTACTACAACAACAATAACACAACAACAACAAAATCAAAAGTTTGACTTTAGCAAAGGAAAAGGAGATGAACCATGGGCTGGGAATGTGGCTCAGTGGTAGAGTGCTTGCCTAATATGCATGAGGCCCTGGGTTCGATCCCTGAGTACTACATAAACAATCAAAAAAAAAAAAGACAAACACAAACTGTAGAAACTCTGTGTCTTTGTCCCTAAACACATTGAGCAAGAGAGCAAAATTTGCCTTTGGGTTCTCTGGAGGGTTCGATGGCCTGTGTGAAGATGGTATTCCATACTATATTCATTAACTATTGGGGCCATCAAAATTCTCATCATTCTCCAATGTTCCCATGCACTTTGCTTTCTGGATTATAGTTTAAACATTTGAATTATTTGCATGGTTAGACTCACTCAAAAATTTGTGTGTTTGTACATCTATTATATGACATTACATAGTATATCATGTATGAGAGACAGTGCAGACATACAAAATAGCACTCTCCCTCTCATTATGTGCTAGAAAGACGTAAATAAGTGAGAGGTTATGATGTCTATGTGTTGTTATCATTTGAATTCACCTGATAAACCTCCGAAACCCAACAGACAGCACTAAGCAGAGGAAGTGTGATCTTCAGTGATGAGACAGAATTATTTTGTGTACCGATTTCTTCGGATACCAGTCACCGTTGGCCTAGGACTCCTACTATTTAATCCGTAGCCCTCGGGCATGTACATGTGTGGTGAACCCATCTGCAAATCCCTCTGGAACAAGGCATCACCCATAAAGATGCCCGGCCGTCTCCTGCCCAGAATCACACCCACCCACAGGTCAGCGAGCGTTCAAGTCAGAGGAAGCTACGAAGCACAGCTATGGATCCAGACAAGCGCGGGAAGTGGAGAGAAGCCAGGTGCGTGGACCTGGAATCTGGCGGCATCGAGCAC